CCCGAAAAAGGCAATGCTGCTTCCCCACGCGGCCCGCCCTCGCTCTGCCCCGGGCAGGACTCTGGGACGGGGCTCCGCGCGCACCCCGCCCGCCTCACTCACAGCGCCTCTCTCGCGCACGAATTTCCACGCACATTTTCTCTCTCACGCTCATATGTTCTTGCAATCCCACATTTCTCTTACACACATACACTTTCTCTCTCACTTGCACATGTTCTCACACTCGTTCTGTCTCTCATGCACGTTCAAAACATCTAGTGAAGTCCAGCAAGTGCAAGCTGCACAGTTCCTCTTCTAGAGAGGTGGTTTGCCTGTGAGTCCAAAGCCAGCCTAAGAACAGAAGATTTCCCATTGACTGGTTCAGCCCCTAGGTTCATCTCACCCTGTCTCCCATACGACCTCTGGTCAGCCTCCTCCTGGCCCTGGCCAAGCTGGCCGTGTACCTGACCATGAAGGAGGCTCTGGCCAGGAGGGTCCCCAGGGACTCTGGGGCTGCTTTCCTCACCTTGCTTTGCTCCCATCTCCAAGCAGAGTATCACTAGTCAGTGTCCACTTGCTCCTTGGACTCATTTGAAGACCAGTGGGCGTTGTCTGGTGTGCTCTGCTTGGTGTCCCCACTCAGCACGGTTGTTTTGAACTTCTGAGCCACACTCCCCTCCCTGTTTTTTCATTATTTGTCCCAAGAAATCTGTTGTCCCCTTTTCCTGTAGCCTCCCTGCCTAAGGGAGGCCAATGAGAGACTTGGTAGGCTGGGCCTATGTGTTTTAAAGGGTGACATGTAGGCCTGTGGGACCTCCTCCTGGCCCTAGCCAAGCTCGCAATGTATCTGACCAGGGAAGAAGATCTGGCCAAAAGGACCTCTGGGGACTGCAGGGCCACTTTCCTGTCCCTGGTCTGATCCCATCTCCCAGCCTAGTATTGCTGAGCAGTGTCTACTGGCTCCTACTTGCTCAAGGGCCAGTGGGCACTGTCCGGTGTGCTCTGCTTGGTGTTCCCCCTTGGTGCACTCTTTGGGCGCATCTATACATGCATATTAACACAGTACAATAAACTCCGGTACTTATTACACCTGAGTTTATTGTTCCAGGCACACCATTTGCACACGTGGCCAGGATTGTAGCACATTGAGCCAGGTTGGAGCAGCCCCAGATAGCAGGGACCCCGGCTGGGAGGGTCAGCATGCTGCAGAGGGGCTGGCTGGAGCACAAGGGTGCCTCAGCACAGGTCTAGCTGGCAGACAGCCCCCTCACTGAAGTATCCTCGTGCCCCAGCCAGCTGAGGCAGCATCTACACATTCACTGCTGCAGAGTTTTTTATTCCACAACAGGATAGTACCTGTAAATATTTACAAGTACTATCCTGCTACTGAGTAAATTAGTTTACTGCAGCCTAATTGGGCGGGCATGTGTAGATGCTGAGGTGTTTACTGTACAGCTAATTAGGCTACAGCATAGTAAATGTCTTGTGTAGACCCACCATTTATGAACCTATGACCTCACTCCCATCACAGTTTTCTCTTTAGGTGTCCCCCCAAAACCAGTTGATATATGCCCAATAACCTATACAGTGGCAGAGAACAGATGCTGAAAGGAAGAGTGAACTGGGTATGACCAGGGTTTTTTCTCACTGTTCCTCTCTCACTAGCAGCCTCCAGCATTTAAGATCTAGGAAGTTCTGATTCAGAGGCTATGCCCCTAGCTCCCATTCTCAATAGCTAATGATGCCCCTTTCCTCCAAGAATTTGTCCAGTCCCTTTTTTGAATATGGCTAGAAAAAGAGGCAGGTGTCTGTCTTTTACAACTTGGGAACAGATCAATTAAGTGATTTTTCCCAGGTGACATGGGAAAGCTGTGGCAGGGTTATGAACTCAGCTTGACTCTTCTAAATCCTAGGCATCTATATGTATAACTTAAACTAATGAACCAAGCTATTTAGCCTAGAACTGTAACAAACTCAGTCTTGTACAATCTTTTTGTACAAGAATTGCAAAAGACCGGGAAGATTGGTGAAAGTTATTGCTACATCAAAAGTGCCCTAACAATCGGTGCGACCTCCGGACTGATTGAAACAAATTCACATTTGCTAGGATAAATACAAAGCAAACACTTACTATATATGGCAAGTACTTACTCTTGACAGGTCCTAGTGGGGTAGACAGAGGAGTCTTGTCTTAACCACATTTGCTAAGCACATGGTAAAGGCTAAACTTCTGGTGTCTGGAAACCGTTGCCTACCAGCATATTACAACATTCCTGTAATAGCGTTGGTATACAGGGCAGAAACTAGTCTCTATTCCTGTCGTCATTTACTGCTGCTTCCATTTGCTCCATGGTGCTGTTCTGCCCTCACTGCTAAACACTCTTTTTAAGTTTTCTTTTAGACATCTCTTTTCTTCACAACAGCTGTTTCATTTGGATGGCTTCCTATGTAAGTCTGTGTTTTGGCACCCAAATGAAACCCATCAGTCTGGTTCTGGTGAAAATGAACTGCTGGTTGATGGTGTGTTGGATCACTATGTTGATGATAAAACCTTTCTTTTCAATGTTGAGAATCTTTTGTAAGTACCTCTCTTCAAAGCCATCTATTTTCCTGTCTCATATTAGGGTAGATCTCCAACTCTCACAGCCACACATTAGCACAGAGATTACATTTGAACTGAAAATTCCCAGATTTGTTCTGGTTCTGTATAGCTTCCAGGTCCGTAAGTTAGTTTAGTGATTTATAGAATGCTGTTCCTGTCTTTCCTGTCACTTTCTTCTTGAGGTGTCCATTGAATAATGTGGTGCTATTAGTTATGCATCTGCTTTCTGATATATATCTACTTGATTCCTGGGTTTCAAGAAGGGTTTTTTGTTTTTGTTTTGGGGAGGAATTTGTTTGATTTTGATGTAGTTGACTTTGAGCCTCTGCTTGGTCTGCGACTTTTGCCAGGTTGTCTCTCTCTGTAGCTTTCCAAGTGTGTCGCTCAGCGGCACAATATCATCAGCAAGGTCTAGGTCTTCTAGACATTTGCCATCTACCCAGGCCATGTTAGCATTTGTTTTGCCTGTACCTTCTGCTAGCCAGTCTATGGCTATGCCAAATGGTAGCAAAGAAAGAACATATCTCTATTTCACATCAGTGTCCATGCTAAGCCATCCTGTTATTGAAGTCCTCTGTAAAAGTATAGAACCGGTCATCTTTGTATGAGGTCTGATGATCTTAGCTGGAATTCCATAAACAATTGAATTCCAGCTATTGTTTCAATTAGCTGCAATTTCATAATAATGTAAATATTGTTTACTCCTGTTCAACTACTGTTGAAGTATTCTCTTGCTCCCAAGATAATTTTTTTCAGGTTTCTGAACTCCTGAGAGAGAGATTTCACCAGGACCCTTCATATGGCAGGAAGGGTTATCAGTGTTCTCTGCTGAGCAACCATTTTTATCAGAACAATAGTACATTTCCATGTCCGTGGACTTACACAGCTGGGTGGTCAGTCTTCTGCTCACTTTATCCAGGGTCAGGCTTGGCAGTTATCTCAAGGGGCAGCAGGTACAGTTATCATATTTATTATGCTGACAAATGCATCCTATTTTTTCTTGAACACAAAACTATTTGCATCCTAGTTTCTTTCTTATACTTTGATCATAAGCTCACTGTGGCAGGGACCATCTTTTTGTTCTGTTCATACAGGAGCCAGCATTATCACAGCTCTTTCTATGATCAGAGTTCCTATACACTACAGTAAGCCAAATAATATCTAATAAGCTTGAATCCCAGAAAAGTTCCTGATCGTGTGCCAGTTATCATCTGCTCAATCAGCAGGGAATCAACCAGGGACTTCTAGAAAGTCTGTGCAGCTTGAATGAAAGATGTCTACTTCTGTGGCTTTCTTCTTGGAAAGAGCACAAGAGAGGGATGCAATAGGTTATAGCCACACCTTCAGCACCCAAATGAGAATAGGGCTGCACTGTGTTAGTTGCTGGATCAGCACAAAGTAAGAGACAAATGTCACTCTGAAAAAAGTATGAAATCTATGCCAACAAAATAACAATAAATAGGAGAAAGAACGTATAATTATTCTTATCTTATGCTCAGGGCTGGACATAGGCATGGGCAAACTCAGTGGCTGCCTGGGGCCCGGACAAAAAGGAGGCCCGAAAACGGTAATTGTTATTATTATTAGTATCATCATCTCTGGCAAAGGAGGGCCTGATAGTAAAAGTTCGCTCAGGGCTGCCAGGAGTCTAGGTATGGTGCTGCTTACACTTGAGAAAATTGAGACAAAGAGAGATTAGGGGTATGCCTATACTACTTCTGCCACATAGTTGAATGGAAGTGGCAGATATGGCTACAACCTGTGTAATTCCCAGTCCTGTGACATTAAATGTACTTCAGACATGCCTACCACATCGGGCCACTCATGGGACATAGGCAGGGAATGGTTAGTTTGGAGTTCAGATATGAAACAGGCACTGAGCTGCATAGTCC